GTGTGTGTGTGTGTGTGTTTGTGTGTGTGCATAATATGCATACTTTACGTGTTGGATCCAAATCCCACAAGGAATTAAATAAAACAAGAAGACAAACAAAAACAAATCAGGATGAGGAAGAAATTAGGTCAGATCAGTGCAGGTTTTTGTACTACTGACATAAAGTTTCTGCTGATTAAAAAAAAGTATGTCGATATTTCTGAAATACATTTGCAAACAAATAACTTTGACAACTTATGTTTTTTCATAAAAGAAAAAAGAAAAATCAGAGAGCAGAGCTGGTAAAACAGCTTAGCTCCGCGGGTTACAGGAGATCAAATGCCAAATACTTTTCATGACAGTCTTCGTTATTGCATAAATCTCCCCTTTTATCATTGATCAGTAAATCACTGCATATAAATTAATCTAACCGTTATAATTTCATGAGTAAAGATTCTCAGATGATTGAATGGCGGTTTTAGTAAATGTTGAACTTTATTGTGATTTCTATTTTTAGAATCAATAGCACACATTTTGATTTAGTTTTGCAAGCTGCTGATTTCACACAGATCCACTGCCCAAACGTGCCTTTGAGTTTTTCATCATTTAAAAAGAATAGGCTCAGGCAATCATTGTGTAATTAGGCTTAGCATATGTGACAGTACATGGCACAAAATAAACAAGAGGTTTCCATGTAACTAAATCCAGATTTTAGTCCCAATTTTTGTTGACTATGATGAAAATATATACTCTTTAGTATATATTAACCACTGGATGCAAAGTAATATATATAAAGGAAAACTTTCTGAATCACATTTAGTTTTATATTTCAGATCACCACAATAGGATATCCACGATTTCGGATTCAGGCATTTGTTTTAGTTCAATATCACAATCATTCTATGTTTGAGTAGTTTACAGAACCAGCAGTTAGCAGCCGCAACTCTGCTGCTTCAATTCAAGCATTGCAAGCATTCCTTTATACACAGCATTTCAGTCAGGTTGAGGTCTGGGCTTCCATGCTGTACATTTGCTTCTGTACCTGGGGTCATTATCCTGTTGCATGGCCTAATTTAGGAGAAGCTTTAGCTGTCGGACAAACGGCCTCACATTTGACTCTAGAAAACTATGTCATGCAGAGGAGTTAGTCACCTTGCAGCTGACAATCTCTTGTGGCTGCAGAACAAGCTCTTTTTGAAAAAAATCATCACCCTTGAACCAGCATAGTTGACAGTTGGTTTGAAGTGTTTGATTCTTGCTGAAGGTACTGCTGTGCATTATGGCCAAACCTCTACTTTGGTCTCAGATGCAGCTCTTGGGTATAGTGCAGTTTCTCTGAGCACAGAACGATTTTTGGGGTGGATCTGAATGCTGCAGACTAGCAGACTTGCTGTTTGCTAGTCGGGGCAGGGGCCTTCTGGTCGGGGTCTGGGATGCTGGGCCTCTCGGGTGCTGCAGGACTGCTTGTCTCTTCCCCAGGAAAAAGGATAACATCTCCTGGGGTATAGAGTATGTGTGGGGAGTGTGAGTACAGTGTCCATTTCTGTTTGTCTCCATGTTGGGCGAGTGTCGAGTATTTATATATGTGTGCATGAGGGTGGGAATGCATGTTTGTGTATGTGTGTGTCTGTGTCAGGTCGGGTCTTAGACGATCTGGGAACATCTCAGGTGCCCCCAGACATCGATGCATTGGTGGTTCTTGCTGTCCAGGACTGGGCGCTCAGGTATGTACCGGTTCACTACCGGTGCCTGCTTGGCTCAGTTGGGTCCCTTCTGGGGGGTGGGGGGGTTCTCGGACCTCAGGCCTCAGTCTGCTCTGGCTGCTGGCGGAGCCCATGGACACGTCACTGCAGCTCCCTGTGGCTTCTGCACCGTGCCTGCTTGGTGACCCCACATCTCGGGCTCTCCTCAGCTCTTTACGGGAGGGTGGCGCGGCTGCCCCTCCGATGGTCCTCCCTGGGCTCTCGCGCTCTGGGGGCTTCTGGATGTCTGGGGCCTGGGGGGCAGGGCTATGGCTCCCCACAACCTCTGGCAGAAATTCACATGGAGAAACCTTTTTAATACAAGCGCACTCATCTACACAGGTGTGCACACAAGTGTACACACGGGTGATCACAGACACAAATTATATCTTTCTTGGCTGCTACCTCAAAGCACACCGTGCGCTGTCGGTCTTGCGTGCTGCAAAATAACATTCACTATTTAGTATTTATTGTTACTTACACTTGTCTAGGTTATTGCTGTGGTCTCCATATTGTTTTGCTCTCTTTTTGCTTGTTTTCTTCTTTTTTTTTCTTCTCTCACTGTCCCTCTTCCTCTCTGTTTTTCTTTCCCTCCCTTTCTTTCTCCCTTTCCCATCCCCCAGTCATGTCTGTCCAGTCTGTAATAAATAAAATAAAAAATAAATAAATAATAATAACAAAGGTCAATCAAGTTACCATAATGATCCACTTGGTAAAATTAATTCATTGGGCATCTTTCTTGGCCTTCAGACAATAATTCTGATTGCTAAAGTACCAAACTATTATCTTGCCTCCCAGTATCGATCAATTTGGATCTGGCTACATGCAGAGAGGAGTGAGGTTCGATGGGTTCCAATAGAACAACATGAGGTGAACCCCATACTATTAAAAGATGTTCTATTTTTAGGTACAAAAAAATGTCTATCCAAGCTCACAAACAATTTGATAATATTAAACACCTTCTGTGCCTGGCAGGAATCCCACTCACTTCTGAAAATAAATATCTCTTTTCTTAGAAGGATACCCCTATGGGGCAACCCTAATCTCTCTCATCATATTGCTGACCCAATATTGCGGGGATGGAAGGACAGAAATATTCAAACTGTTGCTGACTTATACAATAATGATACATTTATAGCTTTCAACAACTAAAGGAAAAATTCAAACTCCCAGGACAAAGTTTCTTCAAATTCCTACAAATAAGAGATTGGGTCAAAGAGAAATCCAAAGGGTTATTCCCCGAGATACCAAAAAAAACTCCTCTTGAAACACAATTTTGCACCAAACCATGGAAGTCAATAAAAGGAATAGCATCTTCTATATATGCTATTACCAGTGAAAAGTTATCTGACCATAACAAAGCGTCGATAAAAAGAAAATGGGAGACAGACCTGGGCCATATCTATGAAGAGGTAGAATGGCACCATTTATTGGAACAGGCACAGACCATGTTAATTTCTACAAAACACAGGCAAATACAATTTAATATATTTCATAGGATATATTACACCCCTTATAGGTTACATAAAATTGATAATAATTATTCCCCCAAATGTTTGAGATGTAAGGTGACAGATAGTGATCTCCTGCACATGCTGTGGAATTGCCCAGTGATAGAAGAGTGAATTGTCATAAGAAATATTTTATTTTACTTGCGAGTACTGCAATGAAAAAGTGTATTCTGCTACATTGGAAATCTGAAAATTCTCCAACATTGAGACACTGCACCAAGCACTATTGATCTTCAGGACAGGTTGATAACTTTAGTCAGAGCTGTTTCTGGCTCTGAAACCTGATTGGCACTTATTAATACTGTGAGATGAAAGGTCTTCATTCAGTTATTTCTTAATATATATATATATATATATTGCTGAGCAAATAATGATTAGAAATAGGCTGATAATTATTAATTACCAATGGATCCGCAGAATGATAATAGCACATGTGAGAGAAACAGGGAAAATCGTTGGCCGTAAAAAGATGTTGATAATATTTACTAGTGATTTTAAGATAATATCATGCACTTTTAGGTTTGTGACTACATTTCAGAAGGCCTTCCAGTAAGCGCAGGGCGTTTCCACTATATGGTGTACTGCCACTTCTTTTAAGTAGCGGAATGCCATCTCAACAGGTGTAAATCAAACAAAACACGGACACCAAAACACAAGTGGAGTGTGTGCAAATCTCCAGTGATTAGAATCTGCCTTATTATCAACAGCACGGAGCACCGACTGAACAAAGACATCATGAAAAATGGGACCCAAACGGACCAATGAACACTTTACTAAACGTTCGCAAGAAAGACAATATCCAATCACAGTCCACGCAGCTCGAACTGTATCGTGACTGAGGTCCGCGCCTGGCGAATAGGAAAAGTAGTCACCGCTAAGGGGCGTTTCCAGGAAGAGAGCGGTTACATTTTCCTGTAATGGCGGACCAGGCAGAGAGCGAGACTATCGGGTTCAACGACAACAGGTCAGATAACAGCGAGTAAAGCGTTAAAATGATTATTAACCGTGGGTAATATGAAGCATTTGCGGACATTTAATATGCAGCTAGTCTGCGTTGCTTTTGGTTCAGTGGTGTTGATATGTGGCGCCCGTGCATGTCAATGTAGCCACGCCAGCTAACTAGCTTCCAGCTAGCTAGCCCCCGTGTTGAAGAGCGGCTCGATTTCTGCTCTCCGCTCCCCGGCACGCGGTAAACATGGGCCAGACAGATTAAACAGACAGATGTTTACCTCTCACGCAAGGCCACCCCAATCACCCGGCTTTGTGCTTGGGCTCAAACGTGGCGGTTGTTATCAATTATAACCAGCTAGCAAAAATATGCTAAATTGATTGGAAAGTAGCTGTTTTAAATAGACAGAAAAAAGGTTGATGTTAGCCCGATTATCACAAGACGACATTTGCTGAATGTTTGTGTTCATCGGCCAAGCGGGTATAACCCTGAAGGGTTCAGCATGTAGATATGAAGGAATATAAACACCACAGAGTCTGAATGGACAACACGTCCACGTCACACCGTCTTCAAACAGCATTGCATAGCAATTAAGTAAATTTCCCCTAAATGATGTCCTTAAGTAGAATCCTAAGGTATTTATAATAAGGAACATGTATCTGTGAAGGTTCTCAGTCATTCAGGTCATCGTAGTCTAAGGAGCTTGGAAAGAAAAGCGTCTGGACTTCTTGAATTGCTTGAATAAGGAACATGTATCTGAGAGACATAGTTACAAGTTAATGAAATGAATGTGTTATACACCATCCAGTCAGCTGGTTAGAAAAGCGAGCAGTATTTACAGTCCGTACATGTAAATGTATGTTTATGCATCAGTAATAACAGTTCACAAGTACAGCATACAACAGAGCTCATGTTGGTGTCTGATGGATACTTTAGCGATACACTGATTGTGAAATTCTAGGCAAATTCGGATTAAAATGGTAGTTTAGGTGATGGGCAATGGCCCAGAGTTTATTTTTTTATTTACTTATATATATTTGTTTATTTTTTGTGTCAGAGAACCAGAGAAATCTTTCATTTCTATCATAGCATCTTTGAACATTTAGGCAGCATTAAATTGTTGCGACGTAACACAAAGCTTCTGCTTCTTATTAGCGTGGTTTTAAGTTGTGCTATTGCTACTTTGACTTTGATAATAGGTCTGAGTACTTCTTCCGCTGCTGTTTGCTGGCCCATTTCTGCAGCAAGTCTCACATTAGTCAGCAGAAAGTGTTTGTATTCATTGCTAACCATTCCTGGCTTATACTGCAGCTTCCTCGATTGTAAAAAGATTTTAATATGATATTACAGATGTTATTACTTTTGTAGTGTCATTTATTTTTGGATTGTGAAGGATAATTTGTCATTGCACTGTATAATTTGTACTGTATATTTAATAATTAAGCTGATAATTGCTTTCTGCTCTCTTTTCAAAGGCTTTATTTACAGTTTAGTGTCATGTTAGTTTTGATCATAAGCTTTAACTATAACTTTTATTATGTTGTGCCAGAATGGCGCAGCAGGCAGTGCGGTTTCGCGGCCCTGCGCCTGCGCCTGCGCCTACACAGACCCCAGTGTTAAGAGGCCCACCACCACTCCTTAGGCCACCGCCGCCTCCTTTTGGGATGATGAGGGGACCTCCGCCACGACCTCCGTTTGCACGTCCACCCTTCGACCCCAGCATGCCACCAATCCCTCCACCAGGAGGGATGCCTCCACCTATTGGGCCTCCCCACCTACAGGTAACTGCTCCACATTCTTTTACAAGCATGGTTTTCATCATGGAAATGTTACCCTCTTGTGGTGTAGGGTTGTTAAAAAAAAATCAATACTCAATACTCACTTGCAACAATATTGATACCAACAGTCCTGTCTTTCCTTCCTCCATGACACACAACTTCACATGGCTCCTCCTGTCATTAACAGCTGTAGTAGTTAACGTTCATAACACTGAACAACACTTTAAGAGGAATTTTTAAGGTTAGTAAAGCTCCTGTTTCAACAGCATGAAAGTATTAAATTAAATTAATTAGTATTAAAGAAATGTTAACCCGACCAGTGCACACATTAACATTAGCTATTTAACTATTGTCAGTTACCCAACAGCCTTGTTAGCTGTCTGTTATTAGTAACGTGTTGGCTTGCGGACTGTAGTTAGAAAAATGATGAATAATTATTGCAGGTTGAACGACTGACTGATCGAATACTTAGCCACTTAGGTGGTTATGGAGAAACAGAAAACCTGGCAGGTTCCTGGCTGTACAGAGCAGGGAGTGAACCGTAGCCGAGCTAAGCAGAAAGGGAAATGTGGCGAACTAATCCGAGCAAATAAAGACGGAAGTCTGGAGCGGGAAATCAGGCGGTTTCAATTCTTAACGCAGAGGTGTGGAGGTGAAGAGCTGCAGGCTGAGTTGGAGCAGTGTACATGCTGGATGAGAGCGAGGCTGCAGGCATATGTGAACTAGATAATAAACTTTCACAGTGAGTGCAAGTTGAGGATATGACTTCTTCGCCATTTATTCTGGTGATGTAGGATGGGTTTAAAATCTTCCTCATGGTATCAGAAATGGTATCAAGTATTGTCATGTGTTTTGGTATCGAGTTTAAAATTCTTATATTGCGACAACTTTATTCTGGCGACGTGCTCACAATGGTTTTTGAAACGGAGTGAATTGAGTTATTATTTTAAGTTATTGAATACGCATCGATCAGCCGTGTAGCCCCAGGTAGAGTCTGCAAAGAAGAGTGTGTCCTTCTCTGTTACAGCATAACAGCAGTATTCACTCTTAAAAGGAGGGGCAGGCAATAAGGAGGCATATGACTAATCTTTGTTTTATAATCTTTTTGGGTTCATGATTGATTCTTTGGTGCAATGTGATTTTTCTCTTGTATAATACGGTAATGATGCTCAAATCTCCCTAATTGGAATCCAAAAAGGCCAATTAGCATCAACTGCTGGCTGAGCCCTCCACTGCTTGTGACTGTGCACTTTTCTGTATCCTCTACAGACACATTATGTTGGAGGATAGCGTGCTTTAACGGGATAATTTAGACTCTCAGTTCTGCTCTTTATTATATGAAAGCTAAATTCTGTGCCCTCTCTTTTTTATGTAGAGACCTCCGTTCCTTCCCCCTCCTATTGGTAACCTGCCACCTCCACCAGGAATGCTGTTTCCTCCTGGGATGCCTCCCGTTCCCGCATCTGGAAACCCTGCGCTCAACCCTGCTGAAGAAATCTGGGTAGAGAACAAGACGCCAGAAGGAAAGGTAAGGTGGAGGTCCTATGAAAGCAGATAGCAGGCATCTTCAAGATGATATGTGTAATAAATAAGTTGATTGCACTAAAACAGCTTTAATAATAATTTGTGCACACATAGTTAAAGCTGGTTAGAGGAAATGACAGCAAATCATCGAATTATTTTGCTTGACATTAGGTTGGAAATTATGGTTGCATCAATATTGTCTCTTATTAAAAGTGGTGTGTTGTGTTTTTTTTTTTAATGAGATTTTTACAGTTTGCTAAATTCCTTAGTTGGTAGAACAAGAAATCTTGCTTAGCCTGAAATATTGGCTGCTGCCCCTAGAAGCTCAGTCATAAGGCTCGAGTTGTCAAGTTCCCATATTGGTTACTTAATGTTTTACTTGGTTTGCATTTCAGTCACCGTTGGAAGACAACAAGGCTGCTAATAACAGTTTTTAACATATTTCAATTGTCATCGACTCACTGTAAATGTTGTTGTCATCTTTTCAGAACTAGTTAATCGGGACCTACCTTTTGAGTGTAGTTATAATTGATAAGCCTATCAAGTGGGTACCTGCCACTCTCCCAGTCACTGTACTACTACTTATCATATCATCTGCCTCCAAGTCTTCCATCCTTCTCTTATACCAACCCACTGCATGTTCTCCTTCACTGAATCTTCTCTGTGGTCTTCCTCTTTTCCACCTGCCTGGAAGCTCCACTTTTAACATTCTTTGTCCAATATATCCACTAACCCTCCTCTGCACATGTCTAAACCCTCTCAACCATGCCACTATAACTTTGTCTCTAAATCGCTCAACCTGACCTGGTCCTTCTTATATTTTCATTTTGAATCATATCCTTTCTGGTCACTCTCAATGAAAATCTGTGCATTTCCAGCTTTGCCACCACCGGCTCAGCCTCCTGTCTTTTTGTTTTTGCCACCTACCCCAAACCATGTGTCAAAGCAGGTCTCACTAACATTTTGTAAACCTTCCTTTTCAATTTTGCTGTATTCCCTAAATCAGAGCTCTGCTGTAACAAGATTCAATTTTTGTTATTAATTATTTGTAATTCAATACAAATTGTTCTTTCATTTTTTGTAATCATAAAAAACTGATTTTTTTATTTTTTAAAAAAAAACTGTGATTGTTTCTCATTCACAGACATATTACTACAACGCCCGGACCAGAGAGTCATCATGGAGTAAACCTGATGGCGTGAAGGTCATCCAGCAGTCTGAGCTCAACCCTCTTCTCGTGGCTGGGGCTGCAGGTTCAGGGGCAAACGTTGGGGTCACCGCCAGCTCAAGCAGTGTCAACACTACAGCAAGCACAGCAGCAGCAGCCTCCCCTACTCAAGCTCCATCCTCGGCCCCCTCCCGCACACTCACCTCCAGTCCAGACTCCATCACCACCCATTCCCCCTCTGCGAGCATAGCAGGTAAACAGCACTTCATCAACATCTCACACTCACACACACACAAAGCAAGAATAAAACCAAAAGTACTTCTTTTTCTTCCCAAAAGCCACCGTTGTAGCAGACCTCCCTCCTATTGCCACAGCGACCTCATCTGTTGCTGTTTCTCCGGTCACTGTGGTGACTGTTTCCACGGTGCCATCTCCTGTTACAGCAGTGCAGACCGTGCCACTGCTGCCAGCAGCCCTGCCTCACAGTGTGGCCCAGCCCACCGCAGCCATACCTGCCTTCCCTCCTGTCATGGTGCCACCTTTCAGGGTGCCTTTGCCAGGCATGCACATCCCTCTACCAGGTGAGAATGAGACACGAAAACCTTTAGTCAAGCTGTACATGTATATACTGTAATGACTATTCTGCCTCATTGGGCCATGGTTTTAAATGTTTTGTCCACCATGGCCTGCTGCTGTTGCTGTAAGGCTGTCTTTTACAGTCCAGGAGGGTTTTTTGTATCTAAGGTCTTCTAAAATATTTGGATGTATATATGATTCAATCCAGTCAGGTGTGCACAAGACACGTAGGGCTGGTTATAGGGTGTATGATTCTCCTGAATACTATTCTTTGGACTCCAGTCTTGTTAGTGGTTATCAAAAGGGAACGTTTGGTCAGCAGAACTGCCACAAATTTGATTTAAATATAATTAGTGTTGTGATTTTTAGCATTAATTACATTTAAGATGATTGCTCAGAGAAAATGTTAGAAACAGCCCCAGATTCCTGCTCTTTTACACTGCATAGCAAAGAGACAGTGATTGTTAGACCCCATTCATGTAGGTCTAGCAGTCAGTCACTAACCATGTGGACCACAGGTTGCTAGGGAAAAATGTGTATTCCCCAACTGTTTGGTTGCAGGCTGTCACATGGTGAAATCAATTGCAAAGAAGGTGCTGCATCTTCTCTTCTTATTCTTAGTCTCTGAGTTGTAGTGATCTTCCAATCTTCTAAACAAACAATAAGCGACCTCCTCAATCTGTTAGCCACCAAAGCAATAACAAGGAGTTTTTTATGCAGTACCCTAGGGTTTGGCGATTGGACGAATACATCGACTATCGACGATAGTTTTTACAAGGGTGTTATTTATTTATTTGCCCATGAGTAAGTTTGCTAATAATGATGGAGCAGTCAATAGAAAAAAATAATAACGCTGTTTTAACAGCACCCTCTTTCATCTGCGAGTGAAATGCATCCTCCTCAGAGTGCTCATGCAAGTTAACCGTGTTTAAGTGCTCAGCTCACGCTAAACGTCTGCACAAGTGGCACAACGCTTTGGTTACATCCTTAGGTTTGCCCCTTTCATCTGGTTTAACGCCTAAGAAATCCCAAATTGTCAACTTTACATTTTTTTTAGTGCTGTCAGCGTTAACGTGCCTTCATCACGTTCCTTCCCCCTCAGCTTTAATGGAAGGAATTTCCATTTAACCCATCCGCAGCGCAGACTGAGTCAAAATCCCTGAAATGTCTCTGTCAACGCATTTTGGCAGTCCAAATTTTGTTCATTCTGCGCTCCAGATGGGTTGAGAGTGTTAAAATTTTTAATCGCGATGACTGCATTTAAGCCGCATTAAGGCTGACAGCTGGGTTTGGGTTTTTTTTGTTTTGTTTTTTTTTTTTTTTTGGGGGGGGGGGTCGTCAAACAAAATCAGTCCATGCATGATTACATTGCCCTGCCCATCAAAAACTCTGCGCATGCGCGAATATATTGCCCATTGGCGATTGTTGGACTGACAATTGCCAGTTGGAAAAGTTTTACATATCGCCCAACCCTACAGTACCCTCATCACGACCGATTTCACCCAGCGACATCCAGCAACTGCTTGCCAACCAGTTGGGGAATACACATTTTTTTACTTCCAAATGAAGGTTGCCAGGGGGTCACTGACCAGATTCTAGGTTGTAGGAGAGCAAAAGATCAGTTTGCGATCTCTCTCCTTTTTTGAGTGTAAGAGATGAAACTGAATAATTACAACAATAAAGAAGAATCCACAGAGTCAAGTATTTGGATACAGCCACACTCAGTACTGCAGATAGCAACTTTTTTTTTGGGGGGGGGGTTGGGTAGAAACCCAGATTTTTATTTTATTTTAATTGTGACTTTATAGTGCAGTCATAAAAACATTTGCCTGATGTGTGAAAGATCCCCAGGTCAAGACTGGGAAGAGGCACAGATGCTTGGGAGGGTTGTGTCAGGAGGGTGTAAGCATCTGTGCCAAATCTTACATGTAGATTCATCTGCGTTGGTGACCCCTTGTGAATAAGGGAGCACCCAAAAGAAGCTTTATTATTGTTGTAAATATTAACAACAAAAGATTTGGGTAGCCAGCAGGCTCCAGCTCCAGCCCATTATTTAGATCTAATTTAAAGTGAAAGGTCATACAGATGGATACATTTATTGCCAGCTAAAATCAAAATTGGCTGAAAGCACACCTCAATTAGGACAGATGGTTTTCAAATGTCAGACTTGGAATCTCCTGATTGACGGTGTTGTTATTATGGATTCACTCTCTCAGATGTGCCATCAATACGGGCCGTACGTTATGTTGTGCAGCTGATTCCTGACATTTTTAAATGTACTACAGCCACATAAATTTCAACAGAGGCAGAAAAAAAATCTGGTTGTGTGTTTTGTCTGAACTGGGCCAAACATATACAAGCTCTTACACAACATGGTAGCTGATATCTAGTGTCCTGCTGTGTTCAACCAGATGCTTGCTTGTCCGTTGTTCTTGCAGGTGTAGCAATGATGCAGATAGTAGATGCAACCTGTGTAAAGGCAGGCCCCAGCGCCAACGGTAAACACCCAGCCGCTCGCCTATCAGATCTACAGTAGATGGCATGGTAGTGAATGATGTCTACATGCGTAGTCTGGTGTATATGCAGACCCACAAACAGTGGCATGGTGTTGAGTGCTGTGAACATGGTCCATTGGGTGTACAGTGGTGAAATTCCTTCCATTAAAGCTGATAGAAACAGAAGCTTAATTTTGTTTCCATGATCAGAGAGGGTGATTAGATAGAGTCACGTGCAGTGTTTCATTCTCATCTTGTGTGACATCTTTTCTAGTTTCTTAACTGAATTCTTCTACCCCACTTAAAAAAGAAGAAGAAGAAGAGAAGCAAACATACAAGAACATGATTTAACATTTAATAAATGATACTGACACTGATTCTTTGAACCGGAAGGGGGTAATTTTTTGCTGTTAACTGTTCTAAATTGTTAGATGTTACTGAGTTGTTGGTTGTTGGGTCATTTTTAGGCTTGTGGTTGTCGACTGTAAACAAGTTTGTTTTGTTTTTTTATAAGAAAGGAGTGACCATCTTTATATTTTAAGGGCAGTCTCATTGTTGTCAGGGCTTTGGTAGTGTAACGGTTAGGGCTACATGATGTGTTGTTGTGTTCGTCCTCCTTTGTGGCATGGTTGTGTGTTTGTGGTCACTACTGTATTTGTCTGTTTGTGTGGCCTGTGTTCATTGTCATATAGTTGCTTGTTCAAAGCATTTTAGACGTGAAGAGTTTCTTTCACAAAAATCACAATACCCTCTCTTTTTATTTTCCCTCGTCTTGCTCTGCTTGATGAGCAGACAAACCCCCACAACGACAGTTTTTAGCTTGCAGTGAATCATTCTTACCTCTGGTTTTATTAAGATGTGGGTTTTTTGTTGTTATTATCACCATATGTTGGTAACAGTCTGGGTCATGAAATCGCCTTCATTAATATCTAAACTAATGCCATTGTAGCTAGTGTTCGTGGCTCAGACATAAAGATGACTCTCAGCCAACAATGGCCTCTCTCTTCCCTGTATGACTGCTGACAGGCATGCTTCCTGGTATGGGCCCGCCTTTAGTTTCCGTGATGCACCCCCAGCTGACACTCTCTGCAGCTCCTGCTTCCATGGCTGGATCATTGCAGCTCCCCGAGTGGTCGGAGTACAAAACAGCAGACGGGAAAACGTACTACTACAACAACCGGACGCTAGAGTCCACTTGGGAGAAACCACAGGCTGTGTTGGAGAAAGGTAGGCTTTGCTGACGTGGTGAAATTTTTAGTTTGACATCATGTGTCTTATCCAGTATTATCCTTTTGAGCTATGAGTTTTTCCCAAAACTGTGCTATCTGTTAGCTATCTGTTATCTGTATTTTAAAAAAAGAGAGACTTGTGTTCTTTTAAATGCAAATCAAATAGTGGGTCTAGCTGAATTTCTTTTCAAATCTTCTAAATCTTCTAAAATGTCCCAAAAATCTGTAATAACGATTTTTCTGCACTGCAAAACACAGGAAACGATGTTTCTTCAGACTCGTCATTTTTACATACACTCACCCGTCACTTCATTAGGTACATCTGTTGCACTGCTCTATGTAACTGGCCCATCTGCTATCTTTAGGCATGTAGATATAGCCAACATGATCTGCAGAATTTTGCAATGAGCATCAGAATGGGGAAGAAAGGTGATTTAAGTGACTTTGAACATGGCATGGTTGGGGTAGTGCAAGACAAGCTGATCCGAGTTTTTCAAAAACTGCTGATCTGTTGGGATTTTCCTGCACAACCATCTCTAGAGAATGATCTGAAAAAGAGAAAATATCCGATAAGCAGCAGTTCTCTGAAAATGCTGGGGTCAGTTTTTGCTCTGACATTCAGGCTACGTCCACATGTACCTGGGTATTTTTGAAAACGCAGATTTTTCTATGCATTTGCACCTTTCGTCCACACGTAAACTGCGTTTTTGGTCACTGAAAACTGAGATTTTTAAAAACTCCGGCCAGGGTGGATATTTTTGAAAACTCAGTTTTTGCATTTACATGTGGACGAGAAAAATGGAGAAAATGCAGATCTGGACAATCAACAGTGTCCAGATCTCAGTCCAGTCTTTGGGGTATGGTGGTATTTGCGTCATAGGTGAGCAGCCAACAAATCTGCTTCATGCTGCCATGTCAATATGGACCATAAAGAGGTAATATAGTTCTGGAGGTTAAAGGAGGTCCAACCTGGTGCCAGCAACGTGTACCTAATGTTGTGACTGGTGAGTGGATGGCCACAGTATCCAGTTAGTTTGAAGCTTGTATACACTGATTCCCAGTCCTGCTGAGATTTCAGGCTCCAGCTCATTCAGTGGAAGAGTTAATTAAATTAAAAGGGCTCATTCTCAGTTTTACCAAACTCATAGGCTATAACCACTTTGACTTTCTTGTCAGACCAGATGTAAAGCCAAACTTTAGTTATCTCACTGTCCGCATTTATGTCTGTTTTTTTTCTCCTCCCTTCTCTGTAGAAAAAGAAGCAGAAAAGGCAAAAGAGCGACTTGCCCAGGAGGAAGCTGAGGCAATGGAGATGGAGGATAAGGAGAACAAAATGGAAAACACTAATAATGAGAAGGAGGTATCTGATTAACCACTTGCACTGCCAAGCCAAAACAGATTGAATCCAGTAAACCATCTGAAGGTAGCAGCAACAGAAAACCATTTCTTGTTTTTTTTCTCTTTATCAAGGAGACGAAAGAAGAAGAGATGACGGAGGAGGAAAAGGCAGCTCAGAAAGCCAGGCCTGTAGCCACCAACCCTATTCCTGGCACGCCATGGTACAGACCCTGCATATCATCGCACACTTTCCTTCATGGTATATGGCAGGGCGGTAATATAATGCTGCCCTTTTTTTCTCTTCTTCTGTGTCTATTAATCTGCTTTAGGTGTGTGGTGTGGACAGGCGATGATCGTGTATTCTTCTACAACCCAACAACTCGGCTCTCCATGTGGGACCGCCCCGAGGAGCTGGTTGGTCGAGCTGATGTTGACAAGCACATCCAGGAGCCACCACATAAGAGGGGTCTGGAGGACAACAAGAAGACAGGTGTGGATGCAATGTTTTATAAATTATACATTATGTACTGTGAGTATTGATATAGGAAAGGTTTAAGCTAAGAAAGGCATATTAATTATTGTTGTTGTTATTATTATTATTATTATTATTAATAATTTATTTATCTTTTTATTTGACGAAGCAACAAGAGTACAGCCTGTGGTCCGAATTTTCAGTCAGATGTTTTCACATATTTGAGTGTTTGTCCTCTTTTCTTTTTCCAAGTTATGTCAAGCTTTATGGATTTTCCATAATAACGAGCCGCAGAATACATAATGTATTTCTGTTGAAATCAACTTTTTTCCCCTGTTTTTTTTATTTTGCTTAAAACGACATGTTAGTGAAACAAAAATAAACACTTAAAATATATTCACAGTGTGGCCTGCCTGAAGCAGCTGATATTTAACTTGTTACAGTTCATCTAAATACTGACATATTTTAGGCCCCGGTATATCTGCCACGTTGGACACTTCACATGCTGCTGGCAACATCATCACACGGCCACTTCTATTCATGCTCACCATTAAGGAGCAAGCTACCATATTCTCCTGAATGATAGGTGTCGCCACTGAGACAATACTCCCTCATCAGATCTGATATAGGAAGAGAAGAAGTAAAGACCAGAAGCAAAGACTCCAGTGTTTGTTGTTGTTGTTTTGTTTTTTCCCAAAATTTTTGCAGCATCTGAATCTGTATAATCAGTTGATCTTTGTGGCTCAGTAGGGATAAGAACTGATACAGTCATACACTTGTGTCTTCAACCCACCTGTGAGACCTCTGACTTTCACCCTTAACCACCTTTTACTGAACATTACAACGTATCAGTGATTGGAGAGACAGCAGTGATGTAGTTGCACAGATCGAGTGTTTATTTTCTCTCTTTTGGAACAGTAAACCCTGTGCATGACATTTGGGTAGCTGTTCCACTGTTATACAGTTTAAGGCTAATTACAGTCACCTCTGTCAGCGTGGACTTCACAATGGCTGCACGCTGGTAAAACCACTTTCTGCAACAATAGTCCTGCGTCACACAACAATTACCCACGTGGCCACGTTCATTAGAGGGACAGGGACAGGCTCAGCTCTTATCAGTTAGCCATGAACACAGCACATGCCCTCAGAACAAACAAATGCTGGGCTTAAACAGTCCAAGTTGAACTAGTAGTCTTTGAAGTTGTGTGGCACTACCTTTTGGCAGGGAGCCCTCAAAAAAAAAAACACAAGTGTTGCAGTCATTCTTGGCTCTCTGTGTTCACTATATTTGTGTTGTGTCTGTGTTCACACACAGGTGTCAGCAAGGAGGATCCAGAACTATCCATTGCTGCTGAAGAGAATCAAGATGAGGAGCCAACCAAAGCCAAAAAGAGGAAGTAAGTCCTATCCCTGTGAAAAATTCATTTTTTCCCTTTCTCTTTTTGATTCATTAACCTTTTAAAAAAATTATGATTCTCTCACCACCACCTCTGTTTTTAACACTTGCAGGAAGGAGGACACGAAAGAGGCAGACTCTGAGAAGGAAGCAGCCATGGAGGCAGAGCTCCGAGCAGCTAGAGAAAGAGCTATAGTGCCACTAGAGGCCAGGATGACCCAGTTCAAAGATATGTTGTTGGAGAGAGGGGTAACACATCCTTTTTTTAAAAATAAAGTTTGTTTGAGAGAACCACATGAGATGAATTGTTCTCACTTGTTGAGATTTTCTTTCCATTGCACATGCTCGGAAATGTCAAATCTTTCAGGCTTTTGTCAGACACGTGGTCACCGTTTAGTCTTGTTGTTGTCTTTCCTGCCTGTAGGTGTCTGCATTCTCAACTTGGGACAAAGAACTCCACAAGATTGTTTTTGATCCACGTTACCTACTACTGAACCCCAAAGAAAGGAAACAGGTTATTTTTTTTTCTTTTTACCCTTTTCTCAGTATTTCTCTGTACTGTATTTTTAGCTGTTACACTTTGTTGCGGTCTTTGAGTCATTTTGGTATAATTGTGCTTCAGGTATTTGATCAATATGTGAAGACACGAGCAGAGGAGGAAAGGAAGGAGAAGAAGAACAAGCTGATGCAGGCCAAAGATGAGTTCAGGAGGATGATGGAGGAGGCGAAGCTCACACCAAGGTGACAGGACAGTCCACTTTTACTACATTTCATAGTGGTTTTATGGGGTCAAATCAGTCACCACTACAATTACCCTCAAAAAGAAAAGTCTTATTACATTACTCGTTTGCCTCTTTTTTACTAGTACCTACTAAGCGCCGTTCAACCATTGGTTTCGGTCATTTTCCATTTCAATTGAGTACCCCCTCAGTGTGGGTAGGGTCGTTATTAGGGTTGGGTTTTGATGATCGATTTATCAATTAAAATCGATTCTAGCTTGGATAACGTAAAATTGATTCATTAAAATCCTGAATTGATTTTTAAATATACTTTTATTTTGCCCGAAACGCCAGAATCTCAGGTTAAACCTCACAAAATTTCAACAACCACCAAACAGCTAAAACAGTAAAGAACACGGATTCTGCACAAAGACGTAAACACAAAGTGTGGACCCGCCGACAGATCAGAATCAGTGAGATGTCGCCTTTCTCACCCGAAGGCACGGACACGGTCGGGGCTGAAAGCTGACAGCTCGCTGATTCTGATGTTTCGGCGGGTCCGCGCTTTGTGTTTACGCCCTTTTTGCGCTGATTCTAAAGCTGTTAGTTTTATCTCTCTCCAAACAATATTGACTGAACCAGCAGCAAAAGAAGATCCAAACTACGCTTCACATAAACATCGTCATAAATTCACTCTTAGTTTTGCTGTTTTGCTTCCCCCACGATAAAATCACACATCATGCAGAGCTCGCTGTCTCTCTCTCTCTCTCTCTGTACTTCAAGAACAGTTTCCCATCTAAAAATCTTTTTTCTGCATTTTTCGCTTGCTTATTACGCACAAATCTACCGTTGTTTACAGCGCTGTCGGCCGCTGTTTTTTTTCCTTTTACTTACTTCTGAAAAGAAAGCCTCATTTCTGCTGTTCAATAGGCTTCTGAACAAATGTAAACTTTTTAAAATTATGCAAAATTGCAAAATGCTTAGCTGTGTCTCTAATAAAACCTCTGTAACTTTGCTCTGCTTCACTTCAGCAGCATCAGGTAATGTTCATATGTTGATTAATCACTGTCTTTCGTTTTTGATCTACTGCAGAATATTTTTAAGGTCATCTGCTATAAAATTCCAGGCAAGGAAAGTCGCCTTCATGTTTTTCTGTGTTTTATCCTCAGTTACTTTGACACAAAGGCATCTGCTGTGATGCTTACACTTCTGATAAAGGCTCGCAACTGTCAGCTTTCTTTTTATAGATATAAAAATATGGAAATGTACTGATACGTGATCAGAATTATAATAGTATAATAGAATAGACTGAGGCAAAATTTCCCCAATCGAATTGAATGGAATCGTGGATCGAATCGATTCTAGAAATCAGTGACAATACACAGCCCTAGTCGTTATAGCAAGGTGGTGAGAAAGTGCCGTCATGTAATTTGTATGCAACACAAACACAACACAGTAATGCAGGACATCGAAGCGACATCATCGCCGGGTTTCAAAAATGTCAGGTTTGATTCTCATGAAGGAATGACTCTCATCCAGTGACGTCACCTCCTGACCAATCAGTGGCATGCAGCCTGTTGACATCACATTTTCAGCTCAACTCAGGGGTTTGGAACTTCAGCCCTGAGGTACTAAAAACAGTAACTGTTGCCGAATACTACGACTAAATAGAAAACCCTAAAAATCAAGTAGAGTTTAGCTGAGTAAGTACTAGTGGAAAGGAGGCTTTTGTTTGAGTAGGCTATGAATGAATAAATGCAGGAACCAGGTAGCGTAATATTTTGAAATTCTACCCCCCCCCCACAAAAAAAAAAAAAAAAAAAAAAAATCTCAGATGATTTCGAAGGTCAAGGTCAGGTCATGTTTTCTGAAAATCAGATGCACGCATCTACTAGGAGGCTAAGGAGTAGCATTGTCAGCCACCAGTATTTTTGCAAGGTCCTTTTTAGACTTTAAGTATCTTTGTACCGAGTGGTTTTGCTTCCTAATAATCAGCATATTTGCTTTTTTGCAGGACAACATTTAGTGAATTTGCAGTGAAGCATGGCCGAGATCCCAGATTTAAGACCATAGAGAAGATGAAAGACAGGGAGGCTATCTTTGTGGAATTCATCACTGCTATGAGGAAGAGAGAAAAAGAGGACTCCAAGTCTAGGGGAGAGAAGGTAAGACTCACTCACACCTCAAAGTGCACCGTCTTTCTTTCTTAGCCTTAAACTCTCCAGAGTTGCGTCTCTGCTGCTGACGTTGTTTTTACCCAGATTTATAATAAAGTTTGACGTGTTTGTTTTTTTCTTTAAGGTCAAGCAGGACTTTTTTGATCTTCTGAGTGAGCAGCATATAGAGGGAGGTCAGCGGTGGAGCAAAGTGAAAGAGAGGCTAGAGACTGACCCGCGATACAAGAATGTGGAGAGCTCTGCACTCAGAGAAGAGCTTTTCAAACAGTTCATGGAAAAACAAGCCAAGGTAGGAGCAGCTTTGTGGAGATAACGTCAGGGTTTATGTGCTGATATCTGATGTGTTCGAAAGCATTCATTGGAATGATTACTGTTCATGTACTTTTAGGGAGGTGCACATGTAATAAATGTTAACTAACTGGACGTTGACCTGATGTATATGGCACCAGCTCAACCTAACTTGTATTTCTAAAAGAGAGAATTTAGTGCAACATATCGAAAGAAGCTTACACAGACTTCTTGTGATATCACCTGCAGAACATTGACATTGAGAAGGAGCGAGAGCTGGAACGTCAGGCTCGTATTGAGGCCAGTCTCAGAGAGAGGGAGCGGGAGGTCCAGAAGGCCCGATCAGAACAGACCAAAGAGATCGACCGAGAAAGGGAACAGCATAAGAGGGAGGAGGCCATCCAGCATTTCAAAGCTCTAATGTCTGACATGGTGAGGTGCTCTGCAGAAACACTGGGGTGTGAAAAAACACATGCTCTTATCATGTGTGAGTTTCGTTAAGTTGTGATCATTGTTCAAGGATCAAGTGTTTGAAATGTTACAGTTCATGTGTTGCTTATTTTGGGGCTAATCCTACTAGATGGGTTTTTCCCCCCTCTTTGATCCTTTCAAGCAGTTTTTTTTTTCATGGCTGTTTTTGCATTCGCCCTTCAGGTCCGTTCTTCTGATGCAACATGGTCAGACACACGTCGTAACCTGCGGAAAGACCATCGCTGGGAGTCAGCTTCGCTGCTGGAGAGAGAGGAAAAGGAGAAGCTGTTTAATGAACACGTAGAAGCGCTGGCCAAGAAAAAGAAGGAACATTTCAGACAACTGCTGGATGAGACCAGCATGGTAAGAAGTGAAAAAACAGGACAGAAAAAGGTGCCAGAAGTCATTTTATATGTTATATATATAATACATTATATATGATAGATCTGCAGCTCGATCACTGACAATTTTAAAGAAAAGGTTGTTGTTTTTGTGTGTGTTGTAGATTACTTTGACAACCACATGGAAGGAGGTGAAGAAAGTTATCAAAGACGATCCTCGCTGTATTAAATTCTCTTCCAGTGACAGGGTAAGACGTTATGGGCTCCAACCCATCTTTATATTATTATAAGATGATAAGAGATTAGTCGTGTTGCAAAAGTACGTCACAAGAAAGCAGTATTGCTCTGTAATGTGTCACTTGTAGTGTGTTTGTCTCTTTCACTTAAAATCTCACTTAATGCCACACCTTAGGATTAAACACCCTGTAGCAGTCTTCACAGCTGCTTCTTATCCTATTCCAGTGTTTTTCTTAAATTTTTGCTGCTATAACTTTGCACTGTCCACTTTCTGCTGTGATACAACAGATTTCCCACGTGTGGGACTAATAAACCTTATCTTATCTTATCTTATTGCCAGTCTAAACAAAAGAATCGGATAATTCAGAAGTGAATTATAAATCCAGTCCTGCTCCACGTCTCTTCAGTCAGCCCAAAAGATGATTTGACTTAAAACTGCAGACTAAAAGCGCGTCTAATAAAATCCAAACCATGAATGAATTTATCAAGAGGGTAGTGAAAGTGATGCTGTATCTCTCGCTCTCTGCTGAATCTTCGGTGGTGTGTGTGGTAATTATTGTGGATAAACTCTCTCTGTTGTTCAGCGAAATGCGACAAAGGGGAAGTCCAGAAAATTCCAGAGTTCAAATGTCTCAACTTTCGCTTTCAACGTGCTCTGCTGTTTGCAGCATAAAAACATCACCATCGTTTACAGAAGGACAGAAAAAGGACAAATACTCTATTTATTTTTTTTAAATTAAAACAGCAATTAATTCATTTTTTTGCTTAGTTTAAACCCATGTTGGTTGTTGCCATAAGATGGTGCTGGATCTCCTGATCACCTTTGGTTGCGAGCTGAGACGCCAAGAATACATAGTGCCAATTAACCTTTTGAAATCCATTACATAGGTGTGTCTACAAGGAGGCTTTCTACTGAGTTTGAGCCCTCAAAGTGGTTTCTTACTACAAGCCTCATTCACTCATCACACACACATTCATACAAGCAGTTTTTTGTGTATCGTTCGCACACGCTCACACTCACACTCCAATGGATGGATTTGGGGAAGCTTAAAATATTTAAATGGATGGGGGTTCAGATACTTTGACATGCTGAGTAGGGGGGCCCACGAATTGAACCGCCAACCTTCCGATTAGTAGACGCCTGAACCGCATCCGTCCTATTCAAGGAAACGTTTAGATCGAAGCAAACGCTAAATTACAAATTAAATGTCAGCATGGAAAAAAATGCATGCATGAATTCACTCTATTATTCAAAGGCTTCTTGTAATCAAATGATTACTTTCATCGTCATGATCTCAAGGACTTGGCAACTTACGTTGTTTTGGATTCATGTGGTGTTTCTATTCATAATCCTACCTCTACAATGAAAGCTGTTGCCTGTGGACTGCAAAGCTTCTCAACAGTGGCTGATATATCTTAAACATATTATAATGTGAGTTTAATTATTTGTGTGAAGTACACTCCCATTTTCTGGAGTTCTGACTTCTGTTTGTCCTTGTTTGTAGAAGAGACAGCGGGAGTTTGAAGACTACATCAAAGACAAATACATCACAGCCAAAGCTGACTTCAGGACACTGTTAAAGGAGACAAAGTTCATCACATACAGGTCTGTGCTTTGTTTCACATATGTTCAGTTTGCATAACCCGACACAGTTGTGCCCCTTCCTAGGAACTTGTTATAAATAAAGCTCATCTAGTCTTTATTTCTCTGCAACTTTAAGCAGATGGTGTGTTAGATGTTTTAGTGGAAAACTGGTGTGGGTGAAATCTGAGTTATTTTATTTTTTATTTTATTTTTTGTAACGACACTGGAAGATTCTTGCACAGGTTGCATGACTTGAAACCGTAGTCTGCTTAATAGTGAGAATATCTGAATTACAGTTTTTAACCATTGTCCCTGTATCCCCACTGGCCTGCACTCACACTGCGCTGCACACGGTTCACACCTGAGTATGTTTAAGTTTGTCTCAGCAGCTCGCTAGTCCTTGATGTGCGCACACACAGAGCGCAGTGAGGTTCAACATTTTCAGAATCAGAATGCCTTTCATTGTCTACAGTGTTAAAATAATACAACGTAACAGAAGTGCTACTCCCAAAATAAAGAACACTACAAAAACAAGCCATTCACACAATAATCCAAGCCCTCTCAGTAAAAGATAATAAATTATTTTTAATACAAAGGAGTCGAGAATTAAATAGAACGTCTCATAGTGTATTGCAGTAATCATGCTTGATGTAGCACAGCTGAATAAAAACAGCTCTTTAATCTACGTGTCCTTGTTTTGATGGACCTGTAGCATCTAGCACAGGTCAAACAGTGAGTGCAGAATGAGATCTGTCTTTAGTGACTCTTATATAAAGCTCTTGAGTGGTGTCTTGCTTCTGCAGTCTCTTTGATTGCAACAGAAGACCAGAGCCAGCGATCTTTTCTGCTGGTTTTATTACCCTCTGCAAGATCTTTTTTTTTATCTGCTGCAGAGCATCCAGGATGCAACGTTGTTACATTTTGTAGCTTCATGAGGACCAATTTTAGAAGTGGTGACATGCTGTCAGTTAACACAGCTATTTTTACTAAAGGCAGCTATATGCAGCATGCCTGAGTCCAACTAAATCGGGCTGATGTCTTAAAAACATTCAGCTCTAGAGCGAGTAGACTCCATCCCCGGGACTCGGAGAGTGTGCTGTTCATCTTATTGTATTCCTGCTTGTGAGCGCGCTCTCCCTGTCTCCTTGTGCCCAGGTCGAGAAAGCTCATCCAGGAGTCGGAGCAGCATCTGAAGGACGTAGAGAAGATTCTTCAGAACGACAAGCGGTACCTTGTTCTGGAGTGTGTCCCAGAGGAGCGCAGGAAGCTCATCATGTTCTACATTGAAGATCTAGACCGCCGTGGCCCGCCACCTCCTCCCACCGCCTCTGAGCCTACCCGACGATCTACCAAGTGACCAATCTAATTACTGTCTTGGCCAGTGCTGTACTCCTCCTCGCCCTCCCTTTGGCCAGAGCATGCCCTCCCCTCAGCTCCCTTGATCTCCGCTCTCCAGGCCCACGGCTGGCCATGCAGTGTTTTTTCAGGGGGGTTACGTTGCTTAGATGTGTACCATAGAGATGAACGGTTAACGTCTCTGTGTTATGTCAAAGTCATGAAAAAGCCCTGCGTTTGAGGCGCAGGGACTAGAGGTTACCTGATCCCAAGGTGACCCTTAACCCCTCACCTCTGACTGACCACATTAGAGGGAGGAGGGATAGCAATGAGGCTGCAGGTTGTGCAGCCACACAGATGTAAGAAAGCCGATGTAAATGAGGTTGAGTGTGTGTATGCATGTGATTGAGGCGTCCTTAAGCCTTACAGATCCACTGTGCCAGGTCATCTTTTCAGCGGCTCAGTGTGAATGTTAGTTTCTGCTCAGTGGTTCACTCCAATGTTGCAGCAGCTTCTCTGTTGAATGAAATAAAGACGACTTCCACTGTTTTTCAATATGCTGTGCTCTGGATTATTTGAAATGTCAAAATCGAGGTAACACTTTATTCTCAAATAACACATGTCAAAAAGTTAAGTCTTGCTGCTCAGCAAGAATCTCTAAGTGCACCGGGACACTTATTTAGGCAGTTATTAAAACTGCAAGTATTTATAAAATACTCCTTAACCCTGTAACAACAAGTGTATCATATTTTAAATGTGTGTTTTTGAAAACACACACGTTTTTGTTTTAGTGACAAACCTAAATAAATTGTACAATACACACAATTTTAAGTAATATATTGGAGAGAAAAAAAACATCCCTCCTCTGCACGTGTCCCAACCATCTCAGCCTTGTCTCTGTAATTTTGTCTCCAGAGCTGTCCCTCTGACACAAAACCACCCGAGGGGCGGAAATTTCCTGTGAAAGCAGTTTGCTTTATGGTTTCAGCTGGATGTAAACAGCCTCCAGTGACAGTGAGTCATTTGCTGGAAGGAATTAACTAATGCCAGCATTCCGCCAAGCAAGTGAAAGAGGCAACTGAAAACCAATCTCTCCTTAAAAAAAACTTCACGTTCTACAAGAGGGCACCGGAAACAAAGCAATGAACAAAAATGTGGGTGTTATGCTCAGAATTGCGTTCATCTGACAACCAAAAATGCTATATAATATACATATTTTCTATAGATATCATTAAAGGTGTGCTTTTCAGCGTAATTTGGAAGCAGTAAGCTTGAAAACCACTGACATGCACGACACAGCAGTCGGCCGTCTCTGATTGGTCGGAACAATCTGTTTGGATCACGTGATATTGCCGGACGTGGACGTGAGTGGCGGTCCAACTGCTGCACCATCATCATCACCATCTTCATCCATCCTTTGTGCTGTATCCTCGTCTTATTCGGCCTCATTTACTTACACGTTAATCGTCACACCGTTGAATTTCTACTGTTGTGAACGCATAGAGAAGGTAGAAGCTAGCCTCGTGTGCTATTAGCCTAACGGTCGCATCCTCTCCTCTCCATCCGGTCATCGCTGCTTTGCTGTCGCTATGGGCTGCTCTTTGCTCCCTCTTTTCGTCGCTGTGTTGGCAGCCCGGTTTGTTGTCGCAGACCCGGAGGAACACGGTCCTGTCGACGGAGCTCCGCCTTCAAAGATAGGCAAGAAAAGCAGTTATTAAACCATCCTAGTTAGGTGTTTAGTTCAGCTAATATTAGCCTCTCAGTCAGTCTGAGGGCTGATGAATAAGCAGCATCCATCAGGGGTCTCCGAATACTGAAGATAAAGGCAAACACTAACCTAGCCTGAACATTGTGTGTCACGTGACTAAGAAAGCTTAATCATAGACAGGAGTTATCTGTTAATTTGCTTTTTGAAGCAACCTTTATTCAAATAAACAGGAAGTAAAGCTTCAGCTGTCATCACCATCCAGGAGGCCCAAAAAACCTAAAGATATGACGGAAAATATAAAAGCACAAAAGAGGAAATACAGCAAATCTTACACTTGAAAAAACAAAATAATAATGTGTTTGTTTGGGTTTTTTTTAAGTTAAACATCAAAGTAATAAATTCCTTTTTCCTTTTACATACAGTTGCAGTCAGAAGTTTTTTATACTGTCATCATGAGCATGAATGTCATGGTATTTTTTGTTTTTGTTTTGGCGGTTTCTTTCTCAGTGTGAGTTTATTGGCAGAATTGGTTGGTTTCCTGCCACAGACCCAGCTTTTAAGCATAGTCCACAACGTGTCAACAGGGTTGAGGTCAGGGCTTTGGGAAAACCATCCCAGAAACTTAATGTTAGTCTGATTTAGCCTTTTCAAAACAGTTTCGATGTGTGTTTGGGGTCATTGTTCTGTTGGAACACTTGTGTCCAAAGGTTGAAGAATTAGTCCTTCTTCATTATTCCCCCCAATGTACCAGTACCACTGGTAACAGCCCCAGGCAAAGTTTTGATACATCTGAATAATTTTTACAATTACATTTGTCTGATAATCCTGGAATCTGCAGTTGTATACAAATGGCTACAAGGGAGCTTCCTAATCGTGATCACTAATGAGAAGTTAGTAGGCCTTGGCCTTGTCAAACTAAACAACATTGTAGAGCCTTCAGCGCCACTTATAAAAGATTTAACTGAGTGTATATATATATATTTGAATCTGTGTTTAATTTGAAGCCTATGTGGATTAAAGAAAATCCAAAACTTGTGCACCCAATTATTGTTTTTTAAAGTCATATGTAAAGATGTATGCTGTACAGTCATTTCACCCTGAAAAAAAGAACAGTTCAAAGAAATCATTAAAAGGCCAGAATTACAATGACCTTCATCCCCATGATGAGTGGAAGTGCTGTAACAAGAGATCATTCGATATTAAACAATATGCCCTATCAATGTGCCTCTATTCAACCTCTAAACTTCAAGATAACCCAAAAACTCAAGAAAAGCATAATTTATTGTCCTCATCCTTAGTCCACCTATAGATGAATAGTAAATACTGATGAAACTGTTATTACCCTTATAGAGAGGCCAACAACACCAGCAAACAGCAAATTTACACTGTATTATAGATCTCCGTTAGATTTAAGGCACATTTCATCACCCAACCTCACTCTGTGTCTCTTGCTCTCCAGCTGTGGTTGGGGCAGGGATAGGAGGCAGCGCCACTGCCCACTTCCTGCGGCAGCACTTTGGCCCAGAGGTCCAGGTGGACGTGTTTGAGAAGGGAGAGGTGGGAGGCCGTCTCGCCACCGTAACCGTCAATCACAACGACTATGAGTCTGGAGGCTCCATTATTCACTCGCTCAACCTCCACATGCAGGAGTTTGTCAAGCAGCTGGGTGAGTTCATGGACAAAGACATTAATTAGTCACAGCAGAGGTCAGATTTTAAAATTTTGCTTTGCTTTTTCAAACCAGTGGAGGGATTCTTGCGGTTGTTTTTTTAAATATTCCCCAGCAAAAGCGATCACTTTACAAGAGGAAAGTTAGAAACCTGACACTATGCTGGTCCTCCGTGTCGTCCTGTGTTTGCCCAAACAAGGTTTGAAGTATCGTCGCAACGTGGCCGGAAAGATGGCGGTATTTAACGGCGAAGAGGTGATTCTGGAGGAGACGGACTGGTACCTACTCGACCTGTTCCGGCTGTGGTGGCGCTACGGTATTAGCTTCATACGTCTGCAGATGTGGGTGGAGGAGATTATGGAGAAGTTTATGAGGTGAGTCAGAAATTTTAGTGCCTTGATTTTATTATTTTGTCTCTTCAGCTTCTTTGCATGTTGGACACTTGATGGGATGTGGCAGGGGCGCCGCTACAAACTGCGCTGTCAGGGTATCATAATTCTGTTGTGGGTGTCTCTGCAAGTGGAAGCAAAGCTTTGTTTATTTCTTAATGCTCATTTTTTCTCCTGCCTTTTTCTGGTGGCAGTATTGTTAGTTGATTAGTGGTAATGACATGAATGCTCCAAAATTGGCACTGCAGATCCAGCTGAGTCATTCATGCCTCAAGTGCTTTTCTTCCCAAAATTGTTTTTTCTATCTCATAGATAAGGTTGAACTATAAAAACAATTGTCTTGCCCTTAAAATGTGCACAGCATTCCCTTCTGGTGTTGCAGTCAGTGGGGGAAGCCTGTTTTTGAGCTATTTATTGTTCTCTGCGCCTTAGGCATCTGCAGCCATAATAACTGCAAAACCTTGACTCATTGTGTGCCTTTCCGAGCATGAGGTCTGCGTAAATATAGATAGCCATCTGCCTGGGATTTGCCAGTGAGAAAGGACCACTGACATGAAACTTGTCTTTATCCTCCAGCAACACAAATATACAGTGTAGAATTGCATGAGTGTATTTCAGATATCAAACCCTCTCAGGGCCAAACATGTCAAATCTTTTGCTTACATTTATATTTCCTCTGCTCAGTTTTGCCTTGAAAGATGAACCAGAAACAGAATTTTGCTTTTTCCTTCCTCCACCACCAACATCTATTTCCTCCCTCAGGAAGTGATTTTTATCTCTTCATCACTTTTTTTCTTTCTTTCCTTCTCTCTAAGTCGACAACCACAAGTCTCTATATCTCTCTCTCCGTCTCTGATTTGTTGCCAATAGATTATTGCTGACTAAATAACTTTGAGCAGGAAACGAAACCAAAAAAACCAACAAAACATCTTCATATTGCTCTGTCTACTGATTTAGTCATTAACTGTTATAATTTGTGTGTCTGTGCATGTGAAATATAGGATCTACAAATACCAGGCCCACGGCTACGCCTTTAGCTCCGTAGAGGAACTGCTGGACTCTCTCGGGGGCAGCGGCTTCATCAACATGACCCGGAGGCCGCTGTCCGATTCGCTGCTGGAGCTGGGTGTGTCCCAACGCTTCATTGATGAGGTTATCGCACCCGTGATGAGGATCAACTACGGACAGAATGTCAGCATCCCCGCCTTTGTAGGTCAGCTAAGTGGGAAGATGCAAGCAGCAGTGGAGGAAGAAGTGAAGGGGTGATGAGTAGTGAAGTAAGAGGGCAACAGCTGTGAAGGTGCATTCGGGGACAGTTATGACCTGAACGTCTTCCTTTCTGATTTGGCTCAGGAGAAAGGAAAGGACGAGAGAGGAAAAGAGATGCAGGGTTGAGAGTAGAAGAGGAAGGCAAGGTGAGAGGGGAGCGGGGTGGTCTGTGGGAGTGAGAGAACAGGAAAGCGTGTGGGCAGCTGATAATTGGTTTAAAGCACTTGGCACTGTCTGTTCAGCTTGCGTGTGCTTGTGTGTGTTTCAGGAGCTGTGTCTTTAGCTGGTGCCCAGAACAACCTGTGGGCGGTGGAAGGAGGCAACAAGCTGGTGTGTTCAGGCCTGCTGAAAATGGCCAGTGCTAACCTGCTGGAGGCACAGGTCAACTCCATCTCTCCCATCCACTCAGGTAATGCCATCCTGATGTGTCCTGTTTTTTAAGTTTTTTTTTCAGCTGTGACAGCTTTACTGGTATTGATTATTCTTTGTGAGTCTGTGTCTCCATTGTATATTATAATCCACCTGTTGTGTTGAAGAGAGAGCTGAACATAAAAGCAAACATGAAAGAAAGAATGAGATGGTTTGTCAGGATTTACACTGTCATCCACAGAGCTTTTTTTGTAATACAGGAGAGGGACTCCAGTACCAGCTGAGCTTCACCACGGCAACTGGGACGGCATCAGAGCTGTATGACATTGTAGTGTTGGCGACGCCTCTACAGGCTAGCGTCGGGTCTGGAGTCCAGTTTCAAGGTTTCACGCCTCCGTTTGATGAGCTGCCTGGCAGCTATCACAGCACTGTAGCAACCATCGTCCATGGTTACCTCAACACTTCCTTCTTTGGGTTCCCGGACCCCCGTCTGTTCCCTTTCGCCAGCGTCTTGACGACCGACACACCTGATCTGTTCTTTAACAGCGTGGCTAGTGTTTGTCCCGTCAACATCTCAGCAGGGTTCCGGCGTAAGCAGCCGCAGGAGGCTGGAGTCTACAAGGTGTTCTCCCCACAGCTGCTGGAAAAGACTCAGCTCAAAACGCTATTCAGGTCAGCCATGTTCTTCCCAGAAGTTGATCCCAGAGTCATGCCTGGGCAATTCTGTATTTGTTTGGTACAAACTAAAGCCTGACGGATATGAGATTTTTAAAACCAATCTGTAAGAATCCAATATATTGGCCGATTACGTTCCCTAACGTTTCTTAGTATTATGTAAGAGTCAGTTCAGTTTAAAAATAAACTTGATTTGTGGTTACAGCAAGTCGTGGATGACTCCACGTTTACTTATTTAGGCTCTGACTGGTTCAGCTGTTGTTTGTGCTTTTATTACATGTTTGAAGGGTATTTTTCAAACGTCTCGTCCTTTTGAATTTGTAATGTATCGGCTGTTATAAATGCCAGCGCTGATATCGGTAAATATCAGTCAAGGTCTAGTGTAAGTTTTTAAATTTACTATTGTATAAGACAGAGAAAACCAGCAAATATTCCTATTCAGGTAGTGAAATTTAGGTATTTATTTAAATTGGCTGCTTTACTCTATCATACTGTTCTCTTCAATTTTAGGTCGTACTACTCAGTGCAGGTGACGGAGTGGCAGGCCTACCCTCGCTACAGCAGCAGCCAGCGACTGCCACCTGTGGAGCTGCACCCCAATCTCTACTACCTCAATGGGATTGAGTGGGCTGGTAGCGCCATGGAGATGAGCTCAGTGGCTGCCAAAAACATCGCCCTGCTAGCCTACCACCGCTGGAATAGACAGACAGACATGGTGGACCAGAGAGATCTGGTGCACAGGATCAAAACCGAACTATAACCTCACAAACGAATGCTAAGACCCAGATGGGTAATGTGATGTATGTCTGAGTGTATGGTGTCACCCAACCAAATTATAAACTTTTTGTGATTTTGACCAGTGGCAAGCGAATTTAGATGTCCATTTATATAATATAACCGTTCGTGAATGCATTGAATTTATTCAGTCAGTACAGTAAGTTGAACATAACTTAACCCTGCTGCCTCCTAACTAAACGTAAACATCAAAAACCATAAATCAAGTCATTATATTGGCACCATTATCTGACAGATAATGGTGCCAATAATCTAACAGACTAACAGACTCTGGTCCTGCTCTGCTACTCAAAAGGCCTGTTTCACTTCATTGATTCTCTGTGCCACATAAAAGAGACATGTTGCAGTTTTGTTTGTGGATTTATTGCCGATGCTAATTGGCAGTTTCCATCCAAAAATGATGCCGCAAGGACCTTTCCTTTGCCAAGAAATAAGAAAACCAAGCAAATGTGGTGAACACCAGCTGGCGTGCTGTATACTGTACGGACTGTTAGGAGGTGGTAGTGCTGTTAATGAACGCCATTTAATATAAATACCAGTTTACGGCTTTGGTACTGCTCTTCTTAAACAAATGTTTCTGTTTCCAAGCCAAGAAAGCGTTTAGAACAATAAGCTGTTGTATAGTACGTAACTGATTTAACTTTGTCATCTAATCAAAACCACAGCACTGCTGCTGCTACTCTGTAAATGTAGGGACTGTTAATGGACTGGTTGTTGCCACCAATGAGATCTCATTAAAGTAATCTCAGTAGGATTTCTGTAAATTAATAATTATTCACCAACCCATGGTAGTGGCCACTGGTGCAGTGCTCTATTGTCTCTTTCATCATTATCTCCCCTTCCTGCTGCTTTTGTTGCATAATCCAGCGGAAATTTTTTTTTTTTTCTTCAGGGAAATGAGCCAGCCGGCTTTCACAGCGGACTGAATAAAAGCAGAGGACAGATCCTTGCTGCTGCTGCTGCTGCTGCTGACCACAAATGTTTCCATTTTCTCGCAAGCATTAAAAGCGTCAGTGGGAAAAAAGCTTTTCTGCTGAGGACTTTAATCATGTAAAGCACACACATGAAAATTTTGGGTTTCACTTTCAGAATGGGGAAAAGGTTTGTACGAAGACACAATGAGAAATCGCTGACAGCTGATTATCTTCATGTGACTGAGTAGTCTTGTTTTCTGAATTTCTAATTTATCTACACTGGATTTGGGCTGAAGTGGATTTCTAGAAAACCTTGTGACTCCAAAGGGCTTCAGTTGATGGATAATGTGATTTCTGTTGTGTGTTGAAAAGTGGCTGATGACACTGATTTAAAACACTGTGATGGCCTCAGAATCAATGTGGTGGAAACTGTGTATTTTTAGCCCTTTTTTTCTTTTTCTTTTTTAATTTCAAATTTCAAAAATTGCTTCTTTAGGTATAACAGTAGAATTTGTAGCCCCAGTACTTGTATGTAAATTTTCTAGCAAATACACATCTCAATACTGTTCAGACTACTTGTCTGTGTCAGCTGCAAAGTTCTGATCATGAAAACATGATCAAATTAAAGAGTAGTGAGACGAATGGGGTCTGAAATTGGAATTATCTGGCAAACTCCTGTATTTATGGTGTTAAATGTTCCCATTCCAATTTGTGCACTCTGAATAGTACAGTAGTACTTAAATTAGGGGGGGAGGGGGCCACAGTGCTGATTTTCATCTTTAATTGAGTGAGTTTATCAAACGTGTTGCATTAACTGTTTGGAAATTACAGCAATTTTTATACAGAGTTCCCCAGAGGCTCAAAAGTAATTGGACAAACATAATTTTAAATACCAGAATTGTTTTAAATACTTTGATGAAAATTGTTTGCAGTCCAATCCTCTGAAGTCCAGAACCCATGGACATGACCAGATGCTGTGTTTCCTTCTTTTAGATACTCTGTAAGGTCTTTACTGCAGCCGCCTTCAGCTGCTACTTGTTTTTGTGTCTGTGGCTTCACGCTTGTCTTCAGTAAATGAAAAGCATTCTTTAATAGAGGTCAGATGTTGTAAAGCTTTTTTTCTTAACCATTGGAAATAATTCTGTCATAATGCACTTTAGTTGTTTTCTGTGATCTTTCAGGCCTTTTGATGTTTCCGAGTTGGTCAGTGCATTCCTTCTTTTTCGTAATGTACCAGATTGTTTATTTAGCCACTCCTAAAGTTTTTCCCGTCTCTCTGTATGTTTATTTTGGTTTTCAGCCTAATGATGTCCACCCCCACAGGCATCAAGTATTTCTTCTTACCTGATATAGAGTTCCAGTGAAGATCTATCAAATGGAAGGTTTACACTTTGAGTCAGCTCCACATCTTTAATCTGGCCATCAATGTGCTTGTCGGATTATTGTCCAACTAATTTTGAGCCTCGGAAAATGAAGAACTGAATAAAAATGTCTGCAGTTCCTAATCAGTTAACAAAATGCTTGTTATTGTCCAAATACTTAACTAACTGTACATGACCTTATTGGTTTGTATACAGCGTGTTATTCTTGTAGCTGGCTGGTAAGGCAATTTTACCTACTTGACATCCAGCTGGGGAGTTCAGTCCAGTGATTCCTGTCCTTGGGATCAAGTCCTCCATATGAGAGATCTGAGGGGCTATTGAGGGGGCTTGACCACCTAAAGACTTGGTAACAATAATGAGCTGAGGGCTATTTCTGTGCTTGAGGTCAGATGCCTTAATTCATTCGGAACCAACAAGTTAATGTTTAACAAAGTGTTTAATTTCACAAAATGTCATACACTGATTGTAAAATATTGTACTTGCCAAAATTTTTTTCTTTTTGAAATGTAAAAATGAAGTGGCATTAATCAACATGTTGCATTTAATCTTTCTGATGCACATAATAATGCATTTTAGAGTAATTTGCATTTTTCTCTGACTGTTAATAGAATAAAAGTTATTCTATTGTAGTGAGCTTTTGTTCATTTTGGCTTTCAAACAAGGACACTAAGAAGTCTACTTCAGTGCTGACTATGTGTCAGCAGACAGGGTTTTATTTCTTCTCTATTAATAATTACACATAAGAAAATTGATTTGTTCAATAATGCAAAGTCCTGAAAAACAAGCCTCCTGGTGTCCAGTCAAGTTTTAATTCTGTGCTCCAGTTGGCATATAATCTAAATCACTCTGACAGGGTAAGTACTTATTCCACAATGAATTATTCGTTTTGCCTCTGCGTCTGTACCCAGAAAATTGACCATATCTCCGGGGAGGTTACCCAAGGTCCTTTGGTCGTTCTCTGGATCACAGAATTTCTTATGTAGATCAGATCAGATGGTTACTGAAGATAAAGACATTAAAAACACATTTTAATCATCTACTGAAAGAAATGCAATTAAATATATATAGTGTATTTTACAGGTTATTTAAATGTAAAGGGATGATGGTGCTGCTGTAACTTGAGGCAATAAAAGCCATCTCCAGGCTTGCAGCAATGTAATGTAACATATAATGGGCTCTGTATCTTCTCCTGCTTGGCTTCCTAGCAGCAGGAAAACAATCACACTGCTGAAAATAGAACGCAAGGCTCAACCACTTATGCACTTTTTCGTCATTCAATCAACCGGGTTGATGGGCACATAGCCAACTAGGTCAAACTCTTATAATTAAATATTTATGTGACCATTACCCTGTTTTACAAAGGCTTGATGAGTTATGACCATAGTCATAAATCATCAAGCCTGTCATCATGCACCTTTATATAATGAATTGACTGAAGATGTTTTCTTCAGATGCAAGGTTCCCCTTGATTTTAAATACTTGGGACATTACATCATTAGTAATGAAAACTGAACAATAAAATATCTCATCTCTCCAGTTGTTTTTATAATGCTTTCAGGTTGTTTACACCAGCAGGCCAGACCAGGAAACTTTTTCCAATCTGCTATCTAATTTTGGTGAGCCCATTCCTCAGTTGCTGCAGCCTCAGTTTCCTGTTCTTAGCTGACAGGAGTGGCACATGGTTTGGCTTTCTGCTTCAAGGTTTCACGTGTTGTGCAATCACCAATGCTTTTCTGTGTGTTTTTGGTTAGAAAGAGAGGTTATTTGAGTTACTGTTGCCTTCCTATCAGCTTGAGGCAGTCTGGTCATTCTCTTCTGACATCAACAAGGCATTTTTACTCAGAAAATTGCTCCTCGCTGGATATTTTCTCCTTTTCAGACCATTCTCTGTAAACATTCTCATCACAAACACTCAGACCAGCCTATGTGACACCAACAAACATCCAACATTCATGCTGATATCACCTTTCTTCCCCCTTCTGATGCTCGGTTCAAACTTCAGCAGGTTGTCTTGAGTATGTCTATATGCCTAAATGCACTGGGTTGCTGCCATGTTATTGGTTGATTAGATATTTGTAATAACAAGCAGTTGAGCAGATGTGCCTACTAAAGTAGTTGGTGAGTGTATGTATCATACAGACACAAATGGTAAATGGTAAATGGCCTGTATTTATACAGCGCTTTACTAGTCCCTAAGGACCCCAAAGCGCTTTACATATCCAGTCATCCACCCATTCACACACACATTCACACACTGGTGATGGCAAGCTACATTGACACAAGCCAAATGGATTATCTTTATCTGAAATACATCTACTGATTATAGCATTTTTTAGAGAATTATAAATTGCTATTAGACATATTTTAGATGTGGGGTAAGTGGTTAAGAAATTGGACTGATGGATTTACAACTACATGCTTATAAATGCTGAAAAACTAGTT